GATGAAGAGTGTGAGAAAGTCATGGATATTGTTGATGTTCCCCAAAGCAGTTTGCTTTTATGTAGCTTCTAGCCAGAGGTTGAATATTGGCAGTGTGATTTGGCATCACCTCGAAGCCTTTTTTCCCCTGTATGATCTGTGTGCACAGGAGCTGTCTCTTCCATGGTCACGGTTCTCCCTGTAGGGAAATGCTGCACCCGTTTGTACAGATGCTGGACGGAGCAGAAGCTGTAGTGCCAGTCCACAACGGCAGCTTGGTGCTGGGATCCTGCTGCAGCTCTCCCAAGTAAGGAGGTTGTTGTTTGTTGGTTACGGATGTGTTAGAGGAATTTCCCATTTTTGGTATCTAATGGGAAACCCCGGGGATCCTTTAGGGTGTCAGGTCTGGTGAAATGATGGTCTGTGTCGGAGTGGCTGCCTGAGTCTGGGGGTCTCAGTCCGCTCTCCCTGAACTGCTTGGGGGCAGTGAGCGCCCTGTGGGGGAGTTGAGGCTGTGCTGGATGTGTGCAAGGTCTACAGCTGCAGCAGAGCCAGGACGCTCAAGCCTTACGGGTAAACCCTGAGTAAGAACAAAGGAGGGGAACAAGGGTCTTCAGAGGCTGTAGTCTTGATCAGATTTCTTCCCAGGGACCCTGGTGCTTTGTGGGCAGAAAACTCTTCCCTGGAACTCCTCTCCCTGAAAGGATATCCAATGGGAAACCCCGGGGATCCCTCAGGGTCTCAGGTCTGGTGAAGTGATGGTCTGTGTCAGAGTGGCTGCCTCAGGCCTGTGCTCTGGCTCCCCGCAGGGCGGCATCGACACCTGCCAAGTAGGAGCCTGCGACAAGACAGCGCCCAGCGGCACCGGCAGCCCCCTAGAGCCGCCCAGACACCCCCCAGCATGGGCTTTGCCTGGCCAGTCGCCCTCCCACCACCGCTGGGTCCCCACCGCTGCTGGGGCTCCCCTTCCCCAGCTGCAGGTCCTTGACCAGGGCCCCACTTGCCCCAGAGGCCCGGGACTCTGCCCAGAAAGCCCACCCAGCGTTCCTGGCAGCCCCAAGGTCCAGCTCCCAGCCCAGGAACATCCCTCTTGCACCCGGCCAGCATCGCTGTGCAGAGATGAGCATGAGACCTACCCCACGGGCCCACCACCCTCTCCCAGACAAGGTCCTGTTGGCCCCAGCACCTGAGCAGAGCCTCTATGCCATGGACACAGCTCTGGGGGTGCTGGCAGAGAGAAGGAGCCGGCCCTAGTGCTGCCAGCGGCCACCCGACACCACCGTGACCCTCTTTCCTCCATTTCAGGTGGACAGCGGTGGTCCTCTTGTCTGCAAAGACAAGAGTGCTGACTACTTCTGGCTCGTTGGGGTGACCAGCTGGGGGAGAGGCTGCGCGAGAGCGAAACGGCCCGGAATCTACACCTCCACTCAGCACTACTACGAGTGGATCCTGGAACAGATGGGGCTGTACTGGACACCGAGGGCTGCTCCAACATCATGGCCATGGAGTCCCTTCTCTCAGCTCCTCAACCCCTCTTCAGAGGCTCAGCCCAACACCGGCACAGTCAGGCTGGTTTAGCTCGTGCCCCTTTCCCCTCCAGAAGCTGCTGCAATTCTTTACCCGGCTGCTGGAGCTCCTGCAGATCCTAAAGGGAACAAAGGCTGGAGCAGCAGGAGGAAGAGGATCCAGTGCAGGCGGCAGCACACCAGGGCCATCTCCTGCTGGGACACTCGCTGCCTGCGGACCCAGAGGCCGCCTCCGTGTCAAAGGCCTGCTCGGTCCTGCCCACGCTCCTCTGAGCGCACACAAACGCTCAGGCTGACTTAGTGGTTGAAATAAAGTTGCTGAGTTTCCCAGCTAACCACGCTGCAGTCCAGTTCAGTCTCCTGTGCAAGGCAAGGACTTCCATGCCTGGCACCTGCAGGATGAGGCTGCAGGCAGCCACGTCGGGCACAAAGGGGAAGAGTCCCTCCAAAGGGCTGACCCCTGCCTGGTTGCAGAGGAAGGTGCTCAGAGCCACCCGGCACGGAGAAGACTGGCACATCGGGGCAGAGAGGGGACAGGAAAATGGATGTGACATGCAGACAGCTCTGGGGCACGTACACACACACACCCCCCACGTGCACAGACAGCGTGTGCACACACTGCAGCGCACACGCACGCGGGATGCAGCCACCCGCACGCCCCGCACGCACGCTTGCCAGCAGAGCAGGGTAATGGGGGGATCAGAGCAAAGGATCCTCCTGTCGCTGAGCCCTTGGCAGTCTGCAGCTGCTCTCCATCGCTCATCGCCACCCAGACTGAGGAGGCTGAAGGGGTTCAGTTCTCCTGGAGTCGGGGCCAAATAACGGGCACTTGTCACTGCACATCTGCACTTGGGAGACTGAGCTGGCTGCGGGGCCAGCGAAGCCCGAAGCACACGGCCATGGCGCTGGGCAGCCGGCCAAGGCCAGCCCGCAAGGAGGAGGGCTGGGCAAGGGGCTGCCAGGCCCCGGGGGAAGAAACCCTCTGGGCCCGGCCCCTAGCGCTGCCACTGGAGAAAGGGAGAGGAGGAGGAAGCCAACAAATGAGCGGGGAATCTCCCAGGGCAGAGATCAACAGACAACTTTATTGTGCCGGTGGAGGGGCATCAGGGCCATCAGGTGGGGACGGCGCACGGCTGGTCCCGCGTCTGTGTCCGGGCCAGCTGTAAGGGGTTTGGGCCTGACGTTCCAGGCGGGAGCCGTCCCTCCTCCGCATGGGCCCTCAGCGGCTGGAGCTGCTGCTGCCCTCGAGCACTGGGGAGTCCTGGGACAGCCCCAGCGCTGCCTGGCCGGGGGTGCTGCCCTCAGCCCTTGGTGCTGGCGCACGGCTCCTCTCCTGGCGTGTTCTGGGCCGGCTGTAGGGCGTCTGGGCACGACGTTGCACCCAGGAGTGGCGTTGCCTGTGCTCAGGCCCAGGTGCGCTGGAGCTGCTGCTGCTGCCCTGAAGCACTTGAGAATCGGATGGCCCCGATGCTGCCTGGCTACCTGTGCTGGGGCTGCTGCTCTCTGGTGCTGGCGAGCGGTGGGATGACCCCGATCCTGACCCGATCCCATTGCCAGAGCCAGCGAGCTCTGAGCTGTCAGTGGAGGCTGTAAGGGGAAGCGGGAAGGTCAGGGGCACAGAGGCCACAGTGGAGAGGCCAGAGCGGTGTCCCCAGCCTTCCTGGGGCAGAGAGGCTCTGCCAAGCCCAGCCTGGGCATTCGCTGCCAGGCCTTGCCTGGGCGCTGGCCCCAGCCCAGGGGCATGAAGGTGCTTTGCCTCTTACCGGTGCCCTGGCCAGAGCAACTCTCACACTCCCAGCTGGTCCGGCTGTTCCTGACACTGGAGCAGCGCCGGTGGGTGCCCCTGGCAGCGCAGGAGCTGCACAGCAGCAGTTCCCAGGGCCTGGGGAAGCAAAAGCGTTCACGGCTGTGAGGACAAAGTGACCACAGCACGGGGTTGTGCAGCACAGATCCTGTTCTCAGTCCTTCCGCTTCCAGCTCTTGGCGAGGCAGAGATCCCGTGCAGAGCCCAGGGTGCTGCTTTGCCAACTTACCCCTGTTCCTCTGCCTGCTCCCGGCCTCCGGGACACAGGCACTCACGGGCATCGCAGCGGCTGTGCATCTGGACTAGTGCTTCAGCTGGA